GGGGGGTGGGTGGGGGGGGGGTGTCCAAATGAGACTCGGAACTAGTGGCTTCCCTACATCAATTTTACAACCACGACAACCCATTGCAGTAGGGCCAAATGAATATTTGTACAACAGACCTGTTTGCCATATTGTGCTATGTGCCACAGTAAGATCTAGGAACACTGCTTCTGCTTTCTGCCCAACCTGGAAGTCATTCTCAAATGTAAGTGATAAGACAATATATATCTCCTCAAGGTGGATTACATTCATTTTATGAAGGAAACTATGGACTAGAGAATGAGGAATTTAGTGGCCGAGAGACTTTCAAACTGAAATGGTATTTTCAGATTTGAGATAATATCCATGACTTTTTGATCACAGTTAACATAACTGATATCACTTGATATCAGTGGCGGCCAGGATTTGGCTTGCTAATTCCAACTTGACTTTCTGTACCAATGTAGAATAATTATGTGGCTCCATCCCCAACCTCATCCTCTCTTGCCTTCTATTTAGGCTCTTCATCTTGTTCCTCCATCCATTCTCATCTTGGTCTGCCTCAAGTGATTCATATCCTGCAAATCCTTATAACGTAATTTTCTTTCTTCTCCCACATAGTCCTTCATATTCTTCTTGTTCTTTCTGTCCCCCAGTATCTTTCTCATCCTCTTCCCCTCCCCTATTCTCATTGATTAGAAGATATTTACAAGGTACAAGATTAGGTCTCTCAAAATAACCTTCAAAATAACTGCTTCAAAATAACCTTCCAACACAGAAACAAAGATGATGTCTCATGAACTGACCTAAGGGCATCATAAATTGGAGATACTTCAAGTAGTAACATTGAATTTGGTTCCTTGACTCATATACTCAAGTTTGTCATTACCAAAGAAATAACTTTTAAGTCTGCCTCTTAAAATGAAACTCCAAATGAGAGAGCCTCCTCACTCACTAAACTGAGGAAAATTTTGGACAGATCTGAATAATCTGACCTGAAAGTGAATTGTTAAAACAGTGACATAATCAGATAAACTAATGGAAAAGAATAGCACTCCTGCTTCTGGACTGCACTAGATAGGCTAGAAATTCTTGTTGAGTGATGTCAATAAGCCTACTACTTTATAAAGGCATGGATTTTTGCCCAAGGACTGAACAATCTAAAGGATATTATCTCCAAAATGGTCTACTTCTAAAGAACATTAGCACTGCAATGTCAAATAATGTTTAATTACACGATCACATACTATTTTTTTGCCTCATGGAGTATACGGGATGGATGGTGCTCATCCAGTCATTAGCTATACATTATTTCTTTTTATCGTCATTATTCTATGGAAGGCCCTAAGGCTCACTTGCAGCACACTGTCCAGTGTACAGTAATATAATACAATATTACTAATTTCGTCATGGGCTTTTAATGATGCTCTCTCATGATATTAGCTTAGTTCTTTCCAAACATTAATTTTAATTCACATTATGCCTGTGAGGTGAGCTGGAGGAAGTGAGCCACAGAGATTATAATCCAAATCATCAGAAGTGTCAGCTAACGTTGGGTGTCCAAATTGAGAGTCCTAAGGTTAGGAGATCTTTTTATATGTTCAAAGCACAGCCCCAATTTACCTCAGTTCTAGTTGGGACTGTTAAGCACTTCTGCAACCAGAGTGTGGTATGTTAGTTTGGGTACCTAGAAAATGTAGATACCTGTGAAAAGTTTATT